TATATATATATATTAAGGGTTTCCACATCTATTGGATTGGATTGGAGAATGAATCTTTGAATTGCTCTCTTTTTCTTAACCGTTGACGTCATATAACAAGTTTCGGTAAATAAGACTTCAGGTGGATCTGTGACCATTTTTGACGTGTTGAAGCACTTTTAATACCAAACCTTGGACTTAAAACAAAGTGATCAGACAAGAGTCAACCGGAAGTCTCACGAACTAAAATTGTAAAATAAAGGCAAGCAAGCATTTCTGTTGAAATCGTTTCAAATGAAAATGTTACAAGAACACATATTCTAAGGCACACATTTGTGCTGACTGAAAATGAATCCAGTGATTATGTGTAGCTTTATGCAGCACTTGAAAGGTATAATATGGCCCAGACAAATATTTGCCTTTCAGTGAACTCTGGATAGACTTACCAGAGTTGCTAATTGTAACCAGTCAAAATGTCTGATGTTGCTCTGTGGTGCACATGTGAAACCACCTCAGCGGTGTCTATAAGGCCCTGTTTAGACCTGGATAAACTTAAATATGTAACCAAACAGATGCAATATGGGAGAAGTAAAGGACCATAAAATAATTTGTGATTTTATAGAGCTCAGTGTCAGAGCAAAGACACTAATTTGTACCTATAAAAACTTTGCAGTAAATAACCTGCTGACAACTGTTTTCCACACTGCTTCAATGTGGAAACAAGTACTGTGTATAAAGTACTATGTGAGCAAATATACAAGCAACACAACACCTGAGAGCTCAGAATACTTGTCTTTAGAATTCTCCTAGACAGCTGTTTAATTGGGCTCAATTAGCTGGCAGCTGAGTCTGGTTTTAATAATGCTGTTTGTATTTTTTTTCCCCCCAAAGTCATCTTTAGTCTATCCTGAGAGCGTTCACACTCGTATTTAGCACCATTCACGTGCTATCAGCTCACCCAGGATGGATGCTAATGCCGGTTCTGAATGGGGCTTATTTGTCTTAAACCCCACGGTGTTTTGATGTTGTTATTAATCTCGTATCAACTCGTCCTAAAACACAAAACCTATGGGAATAATTAGATTGAGGCGCTTTTTGTAAAGTCTAGTGAAGATGGTTGACTTTGAGATAGTGGTTTGTTTTATTTTCATATAATTGCTAAAAAATATTTATCACGTGTATAACCAAAAGCACACTTTATTTAAAAAAAGTTAAAATTATATTCTTTACATAAAACTGTTTTGACATTTAATACCAGAGACAGGCTTGAGAAGCCAATTTTCAAAATTAAATCTTGAAGCTTAAATTTATTATATAGATTAAATATAATATAAGAGACAGCAGAGAAGCTTTTAAAGTGGCGATGGTCATTAGTCTGTTGAAATTATAACACTACAAAACGCACTTTAAAGAAAAGTCGCACTTTTGTTAAAATGATTCGATGTAGTGATCGATCATTCATGCTTTCAGTGTAAAGTGACAATCAGAAACCACAGCTTCTAGAAGATGATGAGCTGCACTTAAATACTCTCCCTATAGTTAGTGTTCTTTATTTTTATGTTTTCATTCAGTTGTCATTCTGGAGTTTTAACAAATGTTCGTGCATGGATCGTAATAAAAAAATGTTATCAAAGAGACTCTAGAATTAAAATGAAAATTAGCCCAGTGGTTACATTTTTAGCCATAACATTATGACCACTTACAACCGTAGAAGAAAAGATATTTTATGTTTTTATTTATTAAGCTTTAAGAAGTGCTGGAAAACAGAAATGATGAGTCATATGACTGGTCATAACATTTCAACAACCATAGTTCTCATTAGCTGTTCCCAGTCTTCAGTGGTAAGGACCCATCATTCTGTTTTAAAGAAGGAAAATTGGCAGACTAATGACAAGGTCTGAGGCAGCCCAGGTTCCTGGATGTGTGTGGGCAGTGACAGCTAGCTCAAGCTGTCTCATTAATAGAAGTACTACTGTAGCTCAAACTGCAGTGGCAGGAAAATTACTTTTATTATGATTTTAAATCGCATCGCTGGCTGGGTTTGTATAAACCGTTTACTTTACAAACACACAATGCGTGATATTTGGGAAGTGAACAAACCTGCAGTGGTAGTATCATAGGTTCTTCTGCTGGGAAACCTTTGGTCTTGTCATTCATATGGCTCTTACTTTGACATTTACCATCTACCTCAACAATGATGAATATAAACTATTAGTGGTCTCTTAGTTGGATAAAACATCATGCCATGCTGCAAAAATGTTCAGTTATTCCTTTCTTTATTGGTTGAGCCTTTGTAAGTAGTGGATAAATATGTCCTTGAAGGCATCATGTCACAACTCTCTGGACTTCCTGATGGCTTGGTGTTCATCAGACCTTTTGAGGATTACTGGAGTTCATGCTAATGTTTTGGTGGCGAAGTCTACTGTTGAGGCCGTGGTCATAATGTTATGGTTGATTGATGTAACGCACTGTGAACTTGAACAATGTAAAGCTGGTAAACAGGAACATTGTTTGAAATTCCTATGGATTAAAAAGGCAAATGTTAAAGATGTGATCATCTCACAAAAGGAAGATTCAAAATATGAAAAGTCTGAGTGAACTCTGCACATTTGTGGGATTTGTTTGGTATTTTATTCTGTAGATGGAGCCCCAATGAATTGGGCAATCACTGGTTTGAAGTGTGATATTCGACGGGTTACA